CTCTCTCTCTCTCTCTCTCTCTCTCTCTCTCTTTTTCTCTCTCTTTCTTTCTTTGTCTGTCTCCTTCCTCTTTGCTCCCTCCCTCCTTCCCCGTAGAGTGTGACTGTAAACTCCAGGGGCAAGGAAAGACTTGACTGTATTTTCAGTGATTTACAATGGTGTTCATGTTTTAAGCCATCCTGTATGGATAATGAAATGTGTATAAGGTTTTTGATTATTGTAATGTATACTCCTTTTTTCCCCAAAACTGCTTACATTGATGATATACATACAGAATCCTCTAATTACTTTTGCTTGAAACTAGTTCTTTAGATTCAAATAGCCTTTTCTTACATTATGTCCCCGTATGGTTCCTTAAGAGGAGGTGATACCTGCAGAGCACTTTTAAAGATATTTTCTGGGTTAATATTCAAGATAACACATCGAAGAGGAAGCTATAACAATGTCTAATGAGGGTTCTTTTGATTACTAGAGATGAGAAAAATGTATACTAATGTTAATTTGTGCTTAAAATGCATTTTACTAATGGTATTGATTTTAAATATCACAAATTCTTCTTGTAGATACTAATCTTCCTTGCTTATTGTATATTCCTAGAGAAACCTAGATGAACTATGTTCCAACTAGTATCTATGTATAAATCCTCCTCCCCGGTTGAGCTCTATGTACATTGACATAATTGAAGCTGCATTTAATACAACAAACTAGAAAACCCTTTGAAAATTTCTAGGTTTGTTTTATTGGAATTTCTAATATGATAAAAGGTTTTGACTTAAGCTTTGTATGTAAGAAGAGGTAGAAAATTTGTCTTAACCTCTATCATTTTATGAACTCCTGTTTCTCTGTATCCTAGGAGAATTTTACACTCAAGGAATCTTCCAAAAAGCCATGATCTTAGAGCACTTGGGTGCTTTTGTATTTCATAAGTGCTGATGTGTTAGGTACTTAGGGAGATCAGGCTTCAGGACCTTCTTGAGAACACAACTTCCTGGATGGCTGGGGATATTTATGTTTGTGCTCAGGTTGGGAGGGAACGGCCAATTGGAGTAGGGACCTCTCCATTGATAAAACAGTACAATCAGCTGCTTTGCAGACATGTTGCTTCATTCTACTTGTAACAACATTCTTGTCTCCGTGACTTATGAAATGTCAAGCTACAGAATTGTAAGGCATTGGGCCAGGTGACCAATAGTATAGG